GCGGCGGAGGAGGCGGGGGTCGCTCCGTGGCGTACGGGGCTCCGGGGCGCAGAGGCTGGCCGGGCGGGAGGCCGCGGGCGCGCGCTGGGGCAGCTGGACCCGCACGGGGCATTTCTCCGGCCACCCAGGCTCCGCTTGTCCGGTTGCCATGGAAACAGGCGGCTCTCCCTGTGGGGGGGACCCGGGCGCGGCCTCGGGGGGCGGGTCCCACAGGCTGGCTACATGGGCGAGGGCGGCCCAGCCTGCGGGTTCCAGGGGGTCAGCTGCGGCCACCACCCCTGCAACCCCTGGAGACTGGCACCTCAACGGCGGGGTCCCCCGGGCCTCAGTCTCTCTGGCCCCCTTGGAGAGAGGTCTGCAGGTGGCCACAAGGCGCCGGAGTCCGTACCTTCCCTCCAGGGTTGGGGGGACATCCCCCGGCCCACAGCCTGCCCCGGTTTTCCTGTTCACACAGCAGCGCGTTCCCCGCTCGTGTGCCAGCTGAAAGCATTGTCTCCCAGCTATTTCTGTACCACTTCCAGCCGCTCGACAAGTAGTGCATCTAAGGAAACATGCAGAGCTGGGGCTCCTGGGGACCCCTGCAGAAGAAACTGGATTGTTTCCCATTAGGGAGCAAGTCTTTGGGGCTGGGGAGGGGCTGCAGACCCAGACACTCGGGCTCCCAGCACCTGGTCAAGTGTTTGATTAATCTGAATTGCTGAAAAGAATTTTCCGAGTCCCCGCCCACCAGTGATTACAGGTGTCCCTGCTTAGTTACAGGTGTCTCCCGTTAGCACAGGCCACTTCTCCTTCATTCCAGAGAGGAGCCAGCCATTAATCCCGCTGGCAGAAAAATTCCATCCCCTCTCAAGAGGCTAGCATGTCAGATTTAAATCTGGTTAAATTATTTTTGTATTTAAAAGCGTTGCTCTGACTGGAGTTGTCAAGATAGGATTTATGGCCGGTGGGGGTAAAGCAGAGCCTGTGAAGCTACCCTCTTCCCTTCCTGCCCTGGTGGAAATTCTAATGGATCCCACATTGCAGTGTTGGAATGGCCGTGTCCCTCCACCCATTTGGTCAGCCCCACACTGACCTCACTCGCTGCTGTGTCTTGGGCTTGTTTTCATCAGAAATCGGACTCTTCCTTGAGAACAAGAGAAAAACATTCTCCAGGAGAGGCAACAGCAAGTGACCTACAGCCCTGGGCCCCTTTTTCTCCGAGTATTTGTGTGAAAGAGGAGAGAACTGAGCAGAAAAGGAAAAGGCAGGTCATGCTTCCGAAAAAACAGATCTGGTGACCCCGGGTGTGCTCCGCTCTGTAGGAAACTCCTGCACTCCTCTTGCCCTTTGCACAAACGCATCTGGCCCATTTTGACGGAGAGGCCGTGCTCTGCATTTTGTGATTGTGGAGGAAGGGCACACATGAGCAAGTGGCCACACTCTGTGGTTACTCTCTGCAGATGGCCACAGAGGGAGTGACTGAGGAGAGCCTCCTGAAAAAACGGATCAAGTAGATCAGGGTCTGTGTTTATTGGGACTTCTTTGGGCTTATGAAGCAGTCACTGGAAGGGACAGAGTCACAGTCTGTCCTGTATTTTCTACCCCCTTTTCGTGATGCTGCTAACTTTGCCCTAGAAAAGGAGGGAGTGGGCTGTCTTCCAAGGCCCTGGGAGGGGACCTAGCAGCTGCGTATTTGTAATTTTCTATTTCTTTTTTAATTAAAGCAGAATTGTATAAGCTTCAGACTTGACAGAACCTGTAAGGTTCACCCCTGGGTGCAAAATAGCATTTTACCTCTCCGTTGTATCTGAGGGCCTTTTGAATCCCTGTGTTTACTTCGTGACTTTTCTGGGAGTTGGGCTTCTGCTGAGACCTGGTTTTCTACTGTTTCTGCCGTTTTCCACATTGTATTTAAATTTACCCTCGGCATTATCTCCAAAGGCAGAGGTTTCCCAGCCAGACGCTCCCTGGTGGCAGGGGCTGCCCTGGGGGCCCCTGTGGGTTTGGGTCGGGACCACCGGGGCTGTGCCTGACGTGAGCCAGGTGTCTCTGGAGGGGTCAGGTCCGCCGAGAATGTGTGGTGGCCAGAGGCACGTGCTGGAAATTTCTGAGGCGGGTTGTGTGACTTTCAGAAGGCGCCGTGGTTTGAAGCTGCTGATGTGGTGTGCGAAGCAAAGCCGTGTGCTTGTCACGTGAGGGCTACTGGAAACGCTTCTGTTGTAAGTTTGGATGGGGCCTTGGATGGGGCCAAGGGGGGAGCCACAACCTGCTCTGGGCTCCGCAGCGTCTGACAGGGAGGCGTGTGTACTTTCCTCGGGGCAGGGGAAATAGCCTCTGGCTAGATACTGCTTTGTAGCTTGACTCCCCGAGCCCGGAGGCCCTCGTATGCTCCTCTGCTTGGGACACTTCGCTGTTCTCGGCAGGCTCAGGCTTCGGAAGGCTGGTCCACAGTAAAGGGCTCTGCGTGGTAAACGGTGAGAGGCACACTGTTGGCACAGGAGGAGTGCCGCCCCCCACCCCACCCATGGGGCAGACCTTCGTGTTCGGAACCCAGTCTTTGGTGCGTGAAGTCGTCAGAGCATCTTGAAGGGTGCAGGGTGCACCGAGGATGTCAGGTGGCTGGTTCTAGAGGAACTGAAGGGCGGGTCTGCTGCTCAGCCTTCGTTCACCATAGCCCTGGTGGGAGTGATGACGTCGCAGATGTGACTGAGGCCCAGGGGCCAGCCGGGAAGAGCCCAGTTCAGTGTCAGTGTGGAGGCTGGGCCACTTGCCCTGTTGGGTCCCTCGTGGTCGGGTCGCTCCTTTTCTTGGGGGGCCCCCTAGGCATTTTTCCCGCCCTGGGCAGTCCCCTCCCCTTCCCGAAAGCCTCTCCCAGTGCCTGCGACCACGAGTGGGTCAGAGCTGAAGAGAGGACCATAGCGGAGTTCAGTGCTGACATTCGTCCATGGCAGGTGCCCAGAGCTGCTCTCACCGGGTCCTGGGCCACTGTTTCCAGAGCCTTCTAGAAAATGGCCCTTTCTTCTTTGGTCTGTCTGCCTGGAAGTGGGGCACAGAGTCAGGAGATGGGCGGTGTTCAGCCTCCACCAACTCGTTGTGAAGCAGGACATCTTCCTTTGACTCTGCCCGCCTGCTCCCCCAGAGCTTTGGGTGTGTGGGGGCGTCTGATGATCTATCTGTCTGGAACCCTACGCCTTTGGGGCATTAAGCACACGAGAGTCATGACTTTATGACACACCTTGTTGCCCCAGAGCTGTTTTCTAATTTACCCGGCAAGACTGCCTCTCCGGCCTGGCCAGTGCCCGAAAGCCAGGCTGGACGCCGTGGGTGGACACATGCATTCCAGCCATGCCTCCACTGCTTCTGGAAGGGCCCTTTTGTGTGCATTGTGGTCATGTGTCCATTCTAGTGCCTCCGTCCCAGGGAAGTGGCTCCTCCAAGCCAGGGCCAATCATCTGGAAGCAGCATCCTGGGGGGTTTGTGTTTTGAATGCCTGGTCGCTTACTGCCCTGCTCCTGTGGCTGCCACTTGGCCTGATTGACTAGTTCCATTGCTGTTTGTGATGAATTTTCTGTAGCATAGGCTGTGGTGCGGGGGAGGTGGAGTTTAGGAAGACACGGCCTTGTGTGCTCAGAGTTGTTTATAACTTTGGGTGCGATGGGATAGATGGGGGCTGACTCAGATGAGGCCGGGCAACCCCGCCGGGACTGTGCTGCAGGCACCACCCAGCCCCACCCTGGCCGGCCCTGTTTCTTGGCAGCTTGCTGCGCGGAGTGCGTGGTGCCCAGGCTTCTCGCGTCTTGGCTTTGGGTGACCTCACTGTGCTTCCTAGTAGTGGCTTGCCTTGAAGGGCGTTTCAGCCCCTTCAAACCTGCTTTGTCCCCTGCGGTCGCGCCGGCTTCGGCTGTATCCTCACTGTTGGACCCGGCCGAGGTGCTGTGTCCGCGGCTTCTGCTGGGGCGCCGGGTCCTAGACGGCCGGTCCAGGCTGTTGATGTTCCCCCGAGCCTCGTGGACTCCTGTTGCTCTGCTGGTCGATGGTAACCCGCCTTTCGTTTTCTCCCAGGACGCGGCCTTCTCCCTGCCGTTGGCCAGAGCCCTCGGTGCTTGTCCGTGAAGACGGGCCCACCATGTTCTACGGGACCCACTTCATCATGTCCCCACCCGCCAAGAGCAAGCTGAAGCGGCAGGGCCAGCTGCTGTCCAGCGTGCTGTCCCGGACGCTGAGCTACAAGCACCGTGACCTGGACGCCACCTGCTCCAGCCTGGGCACCAGCGACGACCCGGCTGAGCTCTCCACCCAGCTCTCGGCCCCTGGGGTCCTGAAGGTGTTCGGGGACAGCGTGTGCACGGGCACCCACTACAAGAGCGTCCTGGCCACCGGCACGTCCAGCGCCCGGGAGCTGGTGAAGGAGGCCCTGGAGCGCTACGCCCTGAGCCCCGAGCGCGCCGGCCAGTACGTGCTGTGCGACGTGGTGGGCCAGGCTGGCGACTCCGGGCGGCAGTGGCAGGCCGAGGGCTTCCGGGTGTTCGGCGACAACGAGAAGCCCCTCCTGATCCAGGAGTTATGGAAACCCCGAGAAGGCTTGTCCCGGAGGTTTGAGCTGAGAAAGAGGTCGGAGATGGAGGAGCTGGCAGCCAGGGACGTAGACACCGTGACGGCAGGTGAGGAGGGGCGACGAGAAGGCGCGGGGCGGGCGCCGCTCCGGGAAGCACCGGGAAGGCGTGTTTGTCGGAGGAGGACAGTGGGCCTCTGCCGCGGCGGCGCTGCAGGACTGACTCTTCTGCTCCCCGCTCTGCGGGGCTGTCTTGGCGGTGCGGTTTGTTTACACTGCAGGGCGCCTGCTGGTGGTCATTCCGCGCTCCTCGTGGCGTCTTGCAGTGCCGTGGGGCGATTTCTGCTTTTGGTTGAAGATGACCGTCCAGGGGTCTGGCATGTGTGTCATTGGCCGCGGAGAGGACCTTGTCCCGTGCAGGCGGCACACGCGGTACAGAAAGCCCCTCAGTGCCTGAGGCGCCGGGGCAATCTCAGGGGCAAGCGGATGCGAAGGCGGTGGAGGAAGCGGGTCTCCGGAGGTGCGGTGCGTTGCGGGGCGCGCCGGGGCAGTGGAGGTCGTGCTGGGAGCAGCGCTGAGTCCCTGCCCTGGGCCGGGGCGCTCCAGGCCCTGCGGGACGCTGCTCTGCATCTGGCTTTTATTCACTTGGTGGAAAGAAGCTCATTATCTTAATGGGGAAGCGCCATAAAAAATGGGGTTTTTTCAAATGCCCACAGACTCTTAAGTGTATCTCAGGTCATATTTGACTTTGGTGGCTTTACATGAGCAAGTGCACTGGTCTTACGTGTGGCTCAGAGCAGAAGGCGTTCAGTGGCCTCAGGAGACTTGTCACTCGGTTTCGTGGTGCTGCGGGGTCGAGGGGCTTGAGCTCTCGCTGATGTTTTGTGTGTGTCCCCAGGTGTCGCGAATGCTCATGTTCTCCGGTTCTCCTCTGGTGCGAAACCCACCTTGTGCCTTTAGGGTGTGAAGACGAGGGTGTGGCAGGCCAGGGCCTGACGGGGCCCCTGCGGTTGGCGGTGGGCTCTCGGCGGCCCTTCTGGCCTCAGTCTCGTGATCTGGAGGATCCAGTGATCCGAGGGCCGGTGCAGTGGTGTGTGCAGAGCTCTCTGCTCGGCCGTGCGTCCTGACCGCCTCCTGCACGCGGTTTTCCTGTGCGCTCACAGGCAGGGGTGGACCAAGGACGGGTTTGGGGTCCCTCTGATGGGGGGGTGGAGTGTTTTATCACCGACGTTGTGCAGAGTTGCAGGCATGGGGGATAAGGAAAAACTGACCAATGAGTAGCTGATGTTACTGGGTTGTTTTTTGTTTGTTTGGGTTTTTTTTTTAACTATTTGAAAAAAATTAATCTTATTGAAGATAGCTGATTTACAATGTTGTGTTATTGTTTTTAACTCTCCTTGGACAAGCGCCTGAACGCCCCGCCCACAGGCCTGGTGGCAGGGGTTTGGATTTCGTCCTGACGCGCGGCCTCACTGTTCTCCGGAGGCCTGGTCCCTTCCCCTCCGCACTCTCGGAGGCCTGTAAAGGGCTGCGTCACGTGCGTGGAGAGGGCGGGTGTTCAGCTCATGGTCACTGTCCTGCCCAGTGTTTTCTCTGCTGAATGGAGAGCAAAGAGCACGTGGGCCGGGCCAGCCCTGCCTGTCCTGCGGGTCGCTGTGCCTTGGGTCCCGGGTGGGCCCTGGAAGGCCTGCTCTGTGTCACGTGGGTGATCGCTCTGGCCGGGGGGTGGGGGGAGCAGGGTGACCACGAGGCTAGACGCTATCTGCGGGGAGCAGGGCTTTATTCTCCTGTTCACAGACCCCTTTTAGACCTGTTCCTTTTACGTTCGTCCAGGCAGGAGAAGGCCCACAACATATTCAATTTGGTGGTGGCTTTGCGAAACCTTTCAGAGAAAGAGTCTATTGAACCGGACAGGTCTCACTGACACACTTCTCTGGGCTGGAAGTGGGTTGTGTTACCTGCCTGGAGCAGGCTTTCCGGGCCCCAGGGAGTCGGCCTTCCTGGCCGGCCTCTGACTTGGGTGTGGCCTGGGTGCTCTGTGCCTCCTGGCTGTGCTGTCGCCTTCGCCAGCTACCGAGATGCAGAGCCCGGTGCTGGGGACCCTGCAGGCGGGCCCACCCCCTCCAGCCCTGCCCTACAGGTTGCTGGCGGAGCTTCACCAGAGCCCAGGACCTTGGCATTAGGGTCTGTCTGAGGATCCTGATGATACAAGGATGCACACACATGCTCTCCCACTCACGCACGTGAACACACACTCACGCTCTGCATTGTTCCCCTGTGTAAAGAATCCGATGCGGCCCCTCCCGATCTGCAGATGCCCCCTCACCTCCTAGCGCACCCCCAAGGTCCCAGACCCTCTGCCTCCTCACGCCGGTGGGAACCACAGAGAGACTTGAAGGAGGAGTGAAGGGTGTTGGTGTCGGATGGGTGCCAGCCGCCTTATGTTGATGATGAGAAGGAATCTCCAGCCCCTCTGGCAGCTTTCCCCCCGGCGGCTCCCGCCCACGTTCCTGACACCTGTGGTCTTGTCTGCAGGGAAGGGGGCTCCCCACCTCCTGGGCGACCTGTCTGCGATGAGCCCCAAATGCTGCTGGCGCCCCGAGCGCCTGAGCGTCGCTGTGAGGTGGCATCGGCTGCGGTGAGCTCGGCGGTGTCCATGGGGTGGGGGGTTTACTGTTGAGGAAGATGGGGACCCAGCGCGGAGCAGGCTCCAGGCACCCTGATTCCCTTCTTCCTTCCCCGAGAACGGGTGACGTTGTCCCCGTTCCCCTGGCAAAGTGTGCAAAAGGAAGGGACCGCCTGTGCGGGCACGTGTGCGTGCACGTGAACGAATGCCTGGCGCCCCAGGCATCAGGTTACTGAACAGTCACAGCGGTCTTCATCGTCCCGGATCGTTCCCACGGCAGAAGGCCCACCCCGTGTCGGTGAGCTGGGGCTCGCTGATTTCACGTTAAAAGCCCACTGCGAGCGTCCTCTAGGCTCTTGGGGCTGGGAGCCCACCGCAGGCGCCCTTAGGTGAACTGGGATAGGCCCCAGCAGGGCAGGTGGCAGAAGCGGCTGTACCAGGCACTTCCCGAGGGCACTGAAGGAAGAATCCACCCGGCTCCCCTGAACCGTTTGGACCGTGGTTTTGCGCCCGTGGTAATGTGCTCAGGCACTTTTGGCGTTTGTTTTCCATAAATATCGCCTTTCCCAGCTGCCAGCTTCTCAGTGATCTCCAGAGGATCAGAATATCGCGAGTGAGCCGCGGGCGGGCGGGGGCGGGGCTGCGGAGCCCGCGCGCGTGTTCCCAGAGGGCTGGCTTGTGGGGGCCCGTGCCCCGCAGAGCGGGCTCTGGTGCCCGAGATAAAGACCGTAATCACATCTGCTCCCTCTGGGGAGGGAGGGCGGGCCATGTGGTTTTTGTCAGCGGCTGGAGAAGGGCGAGAGGGCAGGCTTTATTTGTGTTCCCAGGATGGAAGAGAGCTTGTAAACTGGATTCTCAGCCTCAGTCCCATCGACACTTTGGGCCAGCAGTTCCTCGCTGTAGGGGATCACCCTGTGCCTTGAAGGACGTTTAGCCGCGTCCCAGGCCTGGCCCGCTAGATGCATGCGGCACCCCTACCAGTCGTGACAACCACAGCCGCCTCTGGGCCTTGCTGAGTGTCCTGGGGGCAAGCTCGCCTTTGGGTGGGAACCACCGATTTGGACCCGGTGGCCTGGACCCTTTGGAGGAACTCAGTCTGTTGGCCACGCCCTGCGCCTCCCATAGGGGCCGGTGGCCTTGTGCCCTGGGACCCGGACCATCAGCCCAGGCTGGCTGTCATGGGGGCGCCGTCTGAGGGACTTGGGTGCCTTGAGGAGGGGAAGTGCGAGCTTCTTTCTGTGCCAGTGGACACCTTCCTGGTGGCCTACCCCGGCCCTCAGAGGCTGGCCTTTTCTCGACACTGGAAGGCAGGGCCTCCTTGGCTCTGGGTGCCCTCTTCCGAGGAGACAAGGTTAGAGGGTTTCTAAAAGCCACCGAGGCTTGAGGTTCTCTCTGCAGGGACATCTCTGCATCAGCACTGGGCTTGTCACAAATTGCCCTTCAATATCTGTGTGGCCTGGCATACAGTAGGTGCTCGTTAAACGCCTGTTTAAGGGTGGATGCAAATTAGAAGAGCAAGCTCCTCTGTGAGTCTCGGCTTCCGGGTGCATCCAAGACTCCAGGGTTGGAATTGGTTTTCTTTGCGGGGGTTGGGGGGGATGGGGGGAGGGCAGGTGGGAGTGGCATGTGCAGACGGCATGGCTGCCCACTAGTGCAGGTGGGGGCTTGAGTGAGGAGTGCGCTGCTCTGGCGCCGACAGTGTGACCTGCCAGCCTCTCTTCTCTTCCACGACTGGCTGGAGTGGTGGCAGGTATGTTGTCTGAGTGCCTGACTTTGGGTGTGTTTGCCGTCATCCACAGACGGGCAGATGGGCCTGAGCCCCGACTAAACAGGGATGCCCAGGCGCCTCGCGAAGCCTCTGCTGTCTCCATCTGCTGGTTGTGCGCCGTGAATTCTGTCCCCTTGAGTCCCCCAACCTCTCTGTGCTGTTTTCCTTGGATGTTTTTCTCCTCCCGCCACGAATCTGATTTTTAATAACACTTATCTCAGAATGAACAAGGCGATCTGGATTCTTTTTTCCTTTTATTGAAGAGTAGCTGCCTGTTGAGTGAGGCTTCCTCTGAGCATATTCTCAGTGATACAGTCATTGAGGGAAATGTTTATTTTATGTAGTTTGGGTGAAACAAAACAATGCCCAACTTTTTCCATCAGTCTAAAACTAGAAAACTATTTGAACTTAAAAGACATTTTTGAGGACTTTCAATTTAAAGAGAACATAAAGTTGAATGGTTAGCTGCTGATAGCCAGTTTCATTAAAAAAAAAAAAATTCATAGTTTTCAGTTTCACGTAGAAGGGTGGTGCCGGAAGGAGGCCTAGCAGCCCTGTTCCCCCGAGCCTGGTGTTGCCCACCTGGGGCCTGGCTGGCAGCACCCCGTCCTCCCTCGGGAGACTTCTGGCCAAGGAACCTCCGGAGGCTCCGTGCTAAACCCAGGGGGAGATCAGAACTGGCGTAAAATGTTTGAAAGACACAAAACATAATAGG